CGGTGGTGCTCGGACTGCTGCTTCGTGGTTTCGGGGGGATTAAACATATTGTCACGCTCGGAGACGGCGAGCAGGGAAGCAGGCAAATGGCAGCCAGAACTTCGGGTATACGTGGGTTTATTGCACGACAGACGGACAATACTCGACAATACAACAATGACTGATCTGGGGATGACTGACTCTGACAAGGACTAAATACACTAGACAAGCTGAGGGAAACGAGCAACAGGTGAGATCCATCAGGGAAGAACACGAGGTAATGAGGGGGGCGTGGCACACATCGGGATCGTACGGAGCAGGTTGTGACACATATTTAGTAATGTCCGTAATTTCACTAAATCTTCTAATTTCAATAGTTTAGATTTTATAAACAATTTATTTGTATGTTCTCTATATTTCACATTATGAATCACTCGTATCACTTTCTTCTGTAATAAGTATAGAGGTTTTATAGTATTCACATATGTATTCCCCCAAACTTCCACACAATAACTGAGATACGTATATAATATAATATAATATAATATAATATAATATAATATAATAATCAACAAACTAGGAAAATGGCTCTGTAACAGACTTATTTCCAGATACAATCAGGCATCCTGGTACATTGACCAAGCTTTTGTGTATTTTGGGAAAAGTGTAAATTACTGGTTTGATTGGATACTTCTAGAACAAGAAGTCAAACTCATTGCCGTGAGTGTTTCCAAAAAGTGATTTTTAACAGTAGGGAGAAATGTAGTTTTAGGGTTTTGTTTTTATTATCTTTTAAAAGTGACATGTAATGTTTATCCCTGTACATCTGTAAAGTACTTTGAATTGCGTTGTCTCAATGGTGCATTATAAATAAACTTGCTTACTCTGTTTGCATAATCCCCCTGTCTTGGCTCCAAAGAAGCCACACCTGTTCCTCATTTTTCTTACCTCTTCTTCCTGCCCACGTTAACCATTCACAGCTGCCTCATGTTTGCCTCTTCGTTACTTTGTATTTGAGTGTCTCCCAGTCTTGTAACCTTCACTCCAGTAATTGTTGCTTGCATGCACCAATGTTCCCGTGTGTTCACCCTAATATAGTCTCCTAAGGAGGTTTTACCACTAGAAGTTACATTTTGGGTCATCTATGTGACCTTTCTCAAAAGTTTATTTTGACTTTAATCTAAAAACATTTCACTTCAATCTCAATGTTTTTTTTCTGTTTAGGTGTCCCTGATGCTTTTCTGTAGATAAGTGTATAGGGCAAGCAGAGAAAATGTTTTACTTCATACACAACAAAGTGGACAATGACATGGATGCCACAGTCCAGCATAGAGGTGGAGAGCCGTCTGCCATACTGAATCAGATACGGAATAACTGCAGTGCCGCATTAAGGAGGAATGGGGTGCAACAGCCTCATGTGTTCTTGATTGTGCTACCAGTCACATCTCTTTGACTTCCCTTTGCTGCACATCACACTGGAGAGTGAATTGGAAGGCCACAAGTGCCACGTTCTTCTCCTGGCACTCCACAACCTCACCTCAACTTTGCTCGAGAAGAAAAAGCAGGCTCTCTATAGAAGTGTGTGGTGGACAGCTATAGCAGACGTGGGGCAGAGTCACAGTCAGTGTTGTTTTCGTCAACGATGACGATGACGAAATCATTTTGTTGACGCCACTTTTTTTCATGACGATAACGAGACGGTGACGAGATAAACACTGCTCTTTGATGACTAAAACATGACGAGACTTGTGTGAGTTTTCGTTGACGAGACGAGAATGGACGAAAATGTTAGTGGGTGGTCTGTCAGACGTTTAAAATGCATGACATTTCTGCTTATTGTGCGTGTCAATTAAAACCTAAAAAGTATCTGTTGCTGCATTCTATCCTTGTTTGGTCACGCCCATCACCTGGCATGCAGCGCACAACGTGCTCAACACGTCACACTGTTGTCACTCATCACAGACAATGGACCACAATGGCGGCAGTTTCAACACAGGGGCTTGGTGGTCGCAAACGTAGAGACGACATATGGGTGTATTTTAAATATAACCCAGCAGATAATAAAACAGAGTGTATTGTGAAGGAAGACGGTGACAAATGTGGCCACAAAGTAGG